TAGTCCAGACTGAAGAGATAAAGACTAGTATGGGAAAGTCTGAGCCATTCTGTGGCATCATTATTTTACCTTGTGCGTTCACCACCTAATTAATACTAAATTAGAACGACAAAGTCTGTGTCATTCTTTAGTACCATTAGTTATCTTGTGCATTCACCACCTAATTAATTTTGATAATCATATTGTAGTTTATTAATACATTGTGTACAAGGTATCAAAAACGAAGCGAAGTGGTTTTCTCATTGAACACTAGGGGAGAGTGCAGGAAAGACAAATCTGCGTGATTGTTTGTGAAATGGAAACTCATACTCAACATGAATGACAAGACTCGGGCGAGCATGAGGGGATAGCCGTATAACTCGTCAAATGTAAGCGCAGAGAGAAGTGCAGCGACACGTTAAGCTATAAAAATTAAATGAAAGGCATTTAATCCAGAATAGGGGTCTCAAGGGAGAGCCCTCAGAGCGATCGTATCGTCTTGTGCCTCTTAAAAGGGCGCAGTTTTAACTTTGATGAAAGTCAGTTCCTTCATAGATATCACAAAAGAAAATATAGATCCTAATTTATCTACGAACTCGCGGATCATCAAACTTACGCGACCCACTGTTTAAAACGACAACTTCCCTAAGTAAGGTCACTCTACGACACAGAACATTTATATATGCTTTCTTAAATTTATTGTTCAAAATATTGCGATACGATAGTATTTTGAATCAAAAACCAAGGAGTAGTTCCCTTTGAAACCGTAAAACACCGAAGAAAACTGGCATAAACTCATATTCATGAATACCCTCTATGTTTTCCTAATTCCTTTGTGCATACTGTGATGGTTGGCCGGAAATACAAAGTTAGGTGACCCAAGGTGCCTCAGGTCACTTTACATATTTTCTTCAAATGAAACTCTTAAAAATGAAATTTTAAACGAAAAATTAGGCAACAATTACCACGATAAAAAAATATATGGCGTTTCCCTTAGAGCACAAAAAATTCGCAGTTTTCCTGCAACAAAGGAAGGTAATATACCAATAAAACTAGCGATACTGCCGCAGGTCGCAGGTAGTTGAGCAACAGGGCAAGGAAAACAAGTGGTGCTATAGAATGGCACAGACTTTCCCGCATTAGTTTTCTATTTCCGTTGGTCTCGGTTAGCTATATGAACTTGACACATCTATATTAGTACGCTCTCACTTGCCACATCTAGCCAGCTGCAATCTATCGCCGCCAAAAAAATCATATTTATTTTTATTCTTCAATTTTTCGGTTTCCTAATGACAGAACGGAAATATTATTTTAAGAATATTAAAGAACAGTAAACCGCATCCTAAATGGCAATTTTCATTGAAAAATTTGCAGCCTTTTTAAGAAAATGGTACTTAGTGCTACAGTAAATTCAAAATTTGAAGAACTTTTTCTCAGAAAAGTTTTGAGTTAAAAAAAAAAAAACTTCATTTGAAGCACTTTAACTCGCAAATAGTGTTTACAAATTGCTGTAAATGAGCATATTACCGGAGTGAGAAATTTCAACAAAATTACATAGTGTAATTTTTGAAAAGAAAAATAAATACCCCGATATGAATTTTACATCGTATTAAAGAGTACAATTAACAGTGTCCGTTCGAAATGTTTGAAGAAAAAATTTGGAGCCGTTTTTAAGAAAATGGCGTTTGACAGTTTTCGAGAAATTTTATACGACATTGTTTAAAGCACATGAACTCATAAATATAATAATTTGAAATTGTCACCATTGTAAATATTAACGATGTGATAGACACGTCAAAAATTACATTTTTGTAATTTTTGAAAACAAAACAAACAGAGCAATGTGGCGTTTATGTCATTTCGTAGAGTACATTTAGCACCATTCTTACCAAAAGTTTAAAGAAAAAAAATTGGAGCCAATTTTGAGAAAATCTGGTTTTGTAAATTTTTAAAATTGCACAAATTGCACGCAATATTTCGCGAAAACTACTAAAATGTTCAAAAAATGTACATTACCTTTATGAAAGAATAAATTACGGACAGTAAATTTCGTTTGAAAAAAAAATTATATATTGAATTTTGTAGCTGTAAGGAAACCGCAAAAATATTCAAACTTTTGAAATTTTTGAATATTCAGAGTTAACCGTAAAAATCGGATCTATGTCCAATTTATAAGTGCGTTTTACTCTATTCTTACAAGAAATTTAAAGAAAAAATTTGGAGCTGTTTTTGGGAAAATTTTAAAAATGACCCAGAGGCTTTATGTAAAGTAATCATCCAAAAACCAATGGGTGATTTTTAAAATCACAGAGATTCGACTCAGGCCAAATGGTTAGGGGTTTCTTCAATTTGGAAACAAATCCTACGCATGGTTTAGGGGCTAGTGTTGTTCACATACACCAGATGGACGGACGTTTAGAAAAAAACAACACTTTTTCGATATCAGGGGACCCCAAAACGTGTATTTCCGTTGAAATCTCGAAATCGATTTTCCGCAGCATTACATAACTTTCCCTAAATAATGTATTTTGAACTCCGTATATTCGTACTTATATAGGAAATTTAAAAAAAGCAAATCAAATTTCGCCGAAAAGGCGCTTACTATTATATTCCCTGAACCGCCCAAATATGAAATTAAATATTTAAAATGAAAAATTATCATTAAACGATAAAATGAAAATTGTGTTGAGCTCTTTTGGCTAGTTGTAGTAGGAGCAGAGCTGGAGGATGTTTGCTGTTTTGTTAGCAATGAAATCAGAAGGTTTTTTATAGATGCAAATACATTTTCTAATTTTCGAGAACGAAAATCTCTAGTTTTCAAATGTTTCTAACGATGCATTGTCACTTTATTAATCTTTCAACTATGAATAGTAAGAGAGTGGAGATAGAGGTTTTGGACCTCAAAAAAAGGCGGAGTACGTTTTTCTCTCATAGATCACCTGGTATTTTTAAAGGCTTTTTTTACGAAAATATGAATAATATTTGAAAAATTTGCGTGAGCATATTATTATTATTATTATTATTATTATTATTATTATTATTATTATTTAGTTGCGTATCCGCCATTCCTGATCATGCTACTTATTAACGTGTGTAACTATTAGGATCGGCTTTTCAGTTGAATCCCTCAGTAAAACAAGGTTGATACGCCTTGAGTTGTGAATTATGAGGTGATATGATGATGATGATGATGATGATGATGATGAGGGGTGAAAGGACAATCACAAATACGACCATGCCTACGCAGGACCTTGGGATGTTAAGATTCCGCTCTGTATCCCTTGCAGAAAACAATCACGTCATAAACAAGTCAAAAGTTGGCATTGCAGTGACGATTCCCTTTGCGTCATGACGCGGCTTCAAACGAAGCGCTTCCAAGAAATGTCTGAAGTTTATTTCGTAGTGTGGAAAGGGACCTTATTTCCCTTAATTTGTTGTTACATTATTTTTCACTATTACTCTTCTTTAGAATTATCACTCGAGTAATATAAATCTTTCAACAATATTAAAAAGTTCGATATTAAATAACTGGCATTAATATTTTGGACATTATTCTATTTTCACAACTGGGTAATTGCCTCTACTCGCTAAGCTAAGTCTTTGTGCATGTCACAGCATTTTCTGTTACGTTTCAGGCGAACCCTCGTCAAAGTGTGAACAATTTCGTAACTTGGTTACTTATATACAAATTCATAATAACACCTTCAATAAAATGTGCCTGGCAGTTCAGTAAAATGCTGCAAAATTAAATCTAAATTCATTGCAAGTAATACCAATGAATAAATATGTAAAGTAAAGGCAAAAAGGTCCTGACAAACATTGAGCATCATTGTTTACTCCTTATTTTAAAATATATAAAGAACTTGAAATGCCTACATTAGCATTGAATTTCACAAAAATAACCAAAATTTCTTTTTTGCACTCCATTCCCTCGCTCTCTTGTTTTTCGTTTCGAAGAAACAAGACACAATAACAAGAAACAATAAAATGTTTAAATCAGGTCACGCATCCTCAAAGACAAATTCAGACCATCGTAAAATAACATACATTTAATTATCGCCCTTTAAATTAATACAATCACGTATACATAGTTAACCAAAACACTTTAACACACAAAATAAACAGAAAAAATATAGTTCGGACTTCTCCACAGTGCAGTGCATTCTAAATGTTATAGAAATTATGTTTACAGCTTCTGAAAAGTATGGGCACTGAATAGGAAAAAATACATTTTAAAAAATCTCGCAACCGAACATTTAACAATGAGTGTGTGCTATTGTCTGACCTAGCGGTGCCGTGGGCGGGATGGAACCTTCACACGGAGCCCGTCATATATAGTCATCTCCGACCGCCACTGACCGAGAGAGATGTTTTTGGGAGTCACACCGCTGTAGACTCAGACGACCGAAAGGCATTCAGAGGGCAAAAACCGATTCTCTGGCGCGTGTAGTGTGAAGGCCACAACCGTGATCTGCTAGCGGTGTAGCGGACGCGCTTCTGCACTGTAGGTGGCGGGAGATCGCGACTACGCTACTCACATGAATACCTCCATTTAAATCAACGATTTGCCAGCACACGCGCCACTCAGAAGCTTTAAGGCATGCGGCAACAATGTTTCGGCGTGGCGCAGCTTGTTTCGTGGCCCAGAGCATTAGTTTAAATGGAGGTCTTCCCACGTGTGGCGGGTTTGCGCTGCTGCGTCGTTCGGCAGCGGACTCTCGCCACCAGCAGCGCGGAAGGGCGTTCAGAACAGAAACTAGGGTGTATTTTTTTGTGGTCCGCCTCTCTAATGAGACTCTTCGTCCATATTTTTTTGTCGTCTTCTGGTGTGTTGCGACCTCTCTTCCCCGTACAGGGACGGGGATTGGGAGGGAAGGGCGTACTGAGCACCGCTAGCTGAACACAACTTTAAATGGTAGTCTTCTCTCGGTACGTCTCCCTCCCCCCCCCCTTCCACGGCGTGGGGTGGTGGCGGCAGGGGAAGGGCACTGCCGCTTGGCGTCGTAAGAAGGGGCTCTTACCTTGAGAAAGCGCGCTGTCCCGGAGGCGTCCCGCGCGGGCGACAGACGAACTGCTACCGTGTCCGTCGGGCACCGGCGCTGCTCTGCCGCGACGGCCGGCCCACCGCGATGTCCAGGTCGCAAGATCGATTCGGGCGCACGTCGCTCGCTCTTCTCACGCGGAGCCACCGCCGCCGATCGATTCCCTTGCGATTATCACTTTTGAATCGTCTACCGCCAAAGCAATGTGATGGAAAGCGTTACTCGCCGTTCTGAAAACACTTTTACTGTGAAAGCGAACAATATGCAGTTTTATTTAGCATTGAATTACATTTTAAACTCTGTGTCGGTTCTCACGTTCCAACGAGGGAGGAATACTGCTACCTCTCAGCTAAAATGTAAAACGCTCTCGGAACTAATACACTTTTGCATACTAATACACTGTAGTATAAGCACTCACAGGACCAAAGTAAAATTAAACCTGTTTTAAGCGGTCACAGATGTTTCCATTGAAAATGACCATTTGTGCAGGTGACCGCCTCTTGGAGGTAATGAGAATATATAAGGGAAACGAAAATCTCGCCAAATTTTGCACTGCGATGAATTTTAAAATGCTTTTTTCGTTAGCATAGTTTAAATTGTCCAGAAACATGTAAATTGTTTGTTATTTACAAATGAAAGATAAACTTTTTCAGAAAGAAAAAATAACCCCAAAATAAAAAAGCAGTCGCATTGTGTAAATTTGGTGCTTTTTTATTTCTGTGTTAATTTGCCTTACTGAACAAATATATTAATTTCGTTTTATTTATTTATGCCAAAAACAGTTAAAAACTGAGTGACGTGCTATGGGGAGAAGTTAATTTGAAGCTACATTAATGTCCGGAAGCAAAGCAAGGGACCATCTCAGCATTTGCTCCAGGATGCTCTTTGTTAATAATAAACAATTTACCTATTTCTGGAGTGTTTCTATGTTTCTGCAAAGTAAATTGTTGACCAGAAGCATTTTTTCAAACCAACTTTCGCTGCTTAGTATTGCTCAACCATTCTGAATATCCCAGTAGTTTAATAGACAAAATACGCTTAAAATTGTCTTAAGAGCTTATTTTCTAAGTTTCAACGTTTTCTCCCCAGACAGCCGGTATAATCTTTCACTTTCTTATACCTTACTTTTCTTTTGATACTACCATTTATTTCTCTCTAATCTTGGGAGTTGATTCGTTCCTAGATTTGAAGCTGCAATTCACACCATGAGAAAGTTTCAGAGCAGGAATGAAAATCATTTGTTATGAGAACCCAAATAATCGGCACTCCGAGATAAAAACCTAAGATATAACTGTTCCAAGTAAGGTGAAGTTTGCGCCCCGACGTGGCTGAATCAATAGCTATCTCCACCCGTTTCCCGCTTCTCGTAATGTTACGGTTAAAAATCACACATTCCTCCGGAGGTCGTAACCGTCTATTTCAGGTGAATCCGCAAGCTGTACCAGTCCGCTGACCACTTAAAAGGGGAACTACTTATATCCATACTATTACAAAATCTACAGATGCTTCGAAAAATTAGCCGTTAATAGAGGTGGCATATGGCCACTGTAATTTAATATAGTATTTCAATTGTTAAACTTGTAATACTTAGAAAATGGTAATTACAATTTGTTATGCAACCACAGAAACTTGGCAATGATTTCAAGGCAGCAAAATACAAGAATTTATTAAACACTTATGTGGAAAATTCAAATTAATGAAAGTTTATCACAAGTATGAAATAAATAATGAATTATTAACTTTGCAGGTATTAAATAAAATTAAGTTGCGTCGAATGAAAGGGGATATAAACTAGACGCAACTTTACTTACAAAGATTACAACACCTTGACTATTAAGTGAATTACGAATTTCAAGTGGAAATAGACCTTTAATTGGTAAACCATAGAACAGATCAATTATTAAAGTTGAAATTCACTATTTATAAACATGAGCGCAATTACTTATGCGACCACAATTTTACCAGGGACATGCAGTGTCATTTAACACACAGGAAGTTACAAATTTAATTTGCCGTCAATATAATCAGAAATCTTCGTAGACGTGACGTGACAAACAAAACAACTTGGACAATTTTGTACATGATGCTGTTCGGTCTTTCTTTCATGACAAGGTCAAAATAAAATCAGAACAATATCAGTGGCGGCTCGTGCTTAGGTTGAACAACCTCCAGCTTACCGAAGAAAAAAAAATACAATATCTTAGGAATATACTGGTGATCCGGCGTCATATATACGGATGTTTAAAAGAAACACGTTGAGGCACCAATTTTATGTAGTGATGCGGTCACGCTGGGACTCCAGTTACATTCAGTAGCCCGACCTCATACATAATATTTTTAATATGGGATATATGCTACGTTTATAAGGTGGGTTGTGCGCTATGTATGCTGTTGACCGCGCCCGAAATAATGCCGGCTCGAGAGATATCAGGAAGGGTTCTGGATCTGGGTATAATGCTGATTCAACACGATCGCGATTTCACACACATGTTGATATAATCGCATAGTGACTTATATTTATTTATAGAAAAACAAAATAAAATCTTGTGACATTCATGCGTTTACATAACCTTTTGCAATTGTAACAGAACACAATATTGGCAATTACAATGGCCCCTGCCATTGTAATTTGTGTCCATTATTAATGGCAGCAGTTTGGATAACTGAGTCAGCACATTACCTTCCGTTGACACGACCCATCGGCAATTGCTTTGGACGAGAAGTTGGACTAAGACCTTAAATCACGTCGCTGGCGCGTTGCAGGTAGTCTCTCACTTGATTCTCTGCAGCAATGGTGGTCAAGGATCGACGAGGTCGCCGAGTTTAAACGCCGTCCTCCAGCCAGCAGGGCCCAGCACGAACGGTGAATCGCATGATGGCCAAGCTCGATAACGAGTTTTAGGCTTTCACGTGTCTCGATATACTAGGGCGATAAGTATGTGCTTTTTAGCACCACTAGTAGGAAAGTGATAAAGTGCGAATACCATATTTTCGAAACCTAGATCGTTTTTGTTTCGTTAGAATTTTATTGCCGTCCATTATCTCAATGCAGAACTATTATAAAACCTTGAGTGTCTACGAGAGTATATTGGTGCCTACTGGAAATCAAAGGCAGAACCAGGACAAGCTGGTTACATGTGATCAGACGACTACGCTCAGAGTTGTGTCAAGCTGTCACAATCGCATCGAACCAATAGGAGTATTTATTACTCTATTACTAATTTATTGCGCTTAAATTAAACCACTTACACTTGCCGTTAACTAAATAAATGCGGTTATGATGGCGTGGCTGTCAAGCTGATATAACCAAATTTAAAACATGGGCACTCTTGATTCAAACTAATTCGAGTATTTATTACCCCAAAATTAAATTTATTACTGTTGCCGCTCGATCCAGGCAAGAATTACAGATTTCCCACATAACAAATAATCGCCAGACATAATGGTTAAATCGACCACCACTTTCATTATTTTATTTGTGGATAACTTGAAAACATTTTAAATTAAGAATCTGGGAATAGGGATTCCATCAGATTGGAAATGAGAATGTCACTTCAACCACTGTTTAAGTAAATAAAGGTCTATTTTTTATCTGAAAAATATTTAAATTGCTTAACAGTGATTTTCTGAAGATACTTTTCAAAATATGCATGTTCCCTATCATGGAGTTTGGTATCTCTGTACTCGGATCCATTTTTATTCCTCTCTGGTAAACGTACACTAATTTATTTATTTAAGAATACAAATATCCAACACTCGCCTCCGTTGGCTTGCTTCGTATTTATGGCTATTAATTACTTCAAAAATGGAATCGTTGCAGGTCATACAAAATTTATATTCTTGGGTCAACAGACTCGCCCATAAGGGATTTCAAGCATGAAAGATTTACGTCTAAAATTTGTATTGAATTTAAACTATTGCAAGAAAGAAAAACTTATTCATCTTTATGAAAACATAATTTATATCCCTCCGATTCCCTTATATCTTCAGGAGCTCACTGTAGTCACTCGACACACAATGACCAAAAAACATCAAATATGACAATCGAATTCATCACATTCATACTACAGGATGGGCCAAAAGTCACTGCCCATTAATGTTTACAATTTATACAAGTGATTTATTCTCATCATTTAAAGTATATTGTATAACAGATTCTTTATTCTGTAACGAATATTGCATCACCTGCCGGATTCGCTGCGCGCAGATTGCGTCATCTGATGGCGCACCTTCGCTTCCCCCCCCCCCAACTGGACGGTTCCGGACTACTCGCGAGTTGCGGGGGAAGGCGGAGAAAGTGCCGGGTGTGTCGAGACGAGCGCCCGCCAGGTACAAATTTGCCGTTGCCGGCGGCCGCGAGTCAGTCAGTGTAAGAAGTTAGTAGCAGTCAAGTCAGTCAGCAGTGAAAGCTGAGCTGTGAAGTGTGCATCGCGGTAAACAGTGGTGCAGTGGGTGAATAGCAGTCAGCAGTTTTAAGTCTGCAGTGAAGGTGAGCTGTGAAGTGTGCATCGCGGTTAACAGCAGTGCAGTGGACTCTGATGTGCGCAGTGAAGTGTGGTCAGCGCAGTGGACCGTGCACAGTGCAGCGGACTGTGTGATACTGTAGAAGTGATCAGTGTAAATAAATAATCAGATTGGAGAGAACTGTGTACATAAATAATCAAGAGAACGGAGTCGTGTGTAAGAAAAATAATTAAGTGAACCCCACAAGGACTGTGCAATATACCTGTATATAGATCAAGTAGTTTTTAGTGTATAATTCTTTACAAATAAACATTTTTGTTTAAAATATTGTGTAAATATCTGTGTTGGTTTAAATTCACCACAAGAAACGTTACAACACAAACAAACATTTCTTGCCATTACTGTGATGCCAATTGATAGGTAAAGATATATCTTGTCTAGAATATGCAAGTAGGCTATACAAAATAAGAGAGACAGAGAGAGAGAATTTAACACATTAAATTTTAAATAACTCTCATATAACGTGTGACGAAAACATCTTTCCTTTGCAATGTCTCACAATTATTGCATACTTTATTTTACATACTTTTGTTTCACAGCTATGGGAACTTGATGAGTGTCACATGATAGACTTTTAAAAGACAATTAACCCCGTGTTTTGAATAGTACTTCTCAGTTGTTTGTGTTTTCATTGTACATACTCTTGATATTTACTACATACACATTATAAATATGTCTAGTTGGAAGATCAAAAATAGAAATAACTTGTACAGACCATAGATTTGAGGCACATTTTTTAGATTCCTGCAGCTATTTGATCCAACATCTGCTTCATATCCTGGTGCTTGGTTTATGGCTACATTTTCCAGACATTTCCTTCCATGATACATATCAAATATTTCCATTAAATGGAAAAACATTCACATGTACTTTTTAATGATCATCCTCTCATGCATGCTGTACTAAATAAAAGTAAGGTTTCAATGAAAGAAGCTGGTGATTTCTCGTCAAATCTCACATGAATACGAAATCATGACATGAGACAGTGGTTCTAAAAAAACTATGTATATCTTACCACAACATCACCTCCTTGAGTCCATAATACCCTCATGTACACAAAATTTCTCTTTTAAACTTGATCATTCCTCTTTCTCTGAATGATGTGAACAAATATTGTCATTCAACCATGTACAAACAATGCTATTCTTCCATGCAATAACAATTTTTTTTTTGCAACTTAGTGATATATATTTTTTATATCACCACAAAACAACTCATGACTCATATTTGCAAGTAATGAACAAGGCCAGGAAAAAAAAACATGTAAATTGGTAGGAATGCTCACATATATGGCCACATTTGAAAATTTTCAAAGCAGAAATAAATGCTTTGCTACAAGGGGATTGGAATCAAGTTGTCGAAATGAAGCTTCTTGAGCATTCTTCTTAAATTCTATAGTTTTTCACAATATAGATTTTTTAGATGCTTGAATTTTTAACACTATTGCGATAAGAGAAGTATTTTGGTATAAGTCAACGGTATAAGCATAGTAGAATTGGCATCAAGTGTGCAATTACAAGAGGATTGAACGAATATGAAAAATCCGGAATCCAATGAATAAGATGTTGCTAAGGCAACGTATCAATAAATATAAAGATTCCATGTTTGATGTAAAAAGAAGCGCTTTGCTATTGTGCTTTGTCATGCACGGTCCAGTTGTCACATGCAACAGATGGGGGAGGGCGCTGGGAGACGAGATCTTGTTGGAAGTATGAAAAATTCAGTCTCACAAGAGCTGGTGAGCTGAACACATCTAATTAACCGGTATGTTGCACTGTTAGTTGCCAGTATAGGCTTGGTAGAAGATAGCAAGATGAATACCTGATTGTTAGTTTTTGACAGATCAGGATTGTAGAGGGACAAAGTTGTAATGTGATTAAAGTTGAATTGTAATTATTTGTTTGATTCAAAGTAATAGTTAAGTTTTAGCCAAAAAGACTTCGTATTTTCCAAAGGGGTGTAGGTCAGGATAGCTCTGTAGATGGAGAGAAAAATATTAATATGTTGATTGAAAATAGATAGTGGCACACAGAGGTTTCACCCAAAGCCTAGCTAGCGCCAGTCACGTTCACGGAATAATTTTGAGAAAAGTTATTAAGTACATAAAATATCAAACTGTTGAGGACATACCGTGATTACTTGGAAATTTATTCAATCATAAACACAATAGGATACCGAGGACATCATGTGGACAGGAGACCTGGAGAACAGCTGAGAAGACACATCCGAGAAACTAGCAGTAATATTTTATGAAATACAGTGTGGTATACTTGCGTGTCTCAAACAAAAACTTAATAATTTTATTCATGAGCTCTAAGAATTTATGTAATACTATAATAAATCTTAAATCTGACTTTTTTTAAAAAGAGAAGAGGCTGATAATTCAGAGTAGGTGCCATCAACTTAATAACTAGTTTGTTTTGCCAAGCTTCAAGGAATTATGATTCTGCATGGAATCACACGTACACATGCAGCAGGTAAAACGAGAAATGTTGTATGTTGAACCCATAATTGGACTTTAAAGCAAAGTTAGCATAACAACTTTTCCATATTGTAAGAATCTGGAAGCATAGGAGGGCAACAAAAGAAATGTTACATTCATAAAATCTATAGGAAAAATATAGTAATGTTACAATCCCATTGTGGCACATAAATGAAAGTTATCAAAGTAAAACTAATAATAATAATAATAATAATAATAATAATAATAATACAATTTAAAAAAATAAATATATATTATTTTAAAAAGTTACAAATGCCTGCTCATAGTGGTTAATACATAAAAGTTATCAAAGATAAAGAAACACTTGTTACAAATGGTTGCCCAAGTGAAGTGATGAAATAAAATATTAAATATTTAAATAAATAGTCGTTGCAGTGTAAATAAAGAAAAAATTATGAATAGTCACAAACTCTCAAACTTGAATCTATAAAAACAATACAGACAAAAGTACATAAAGACAGTCAGGAGTTCAAATGACATCTGGGCATTGAGTTATGAGACGTAGCGATAAACAATTGAGAATTTCAAAGGAATTGGACACAACAAAAGTATAAACTATAGTGTAATCTATCATTCAGTTATTATTTATAAGAGTATTCGTTATTATCATTTAGTTATAATTAGAATATTCGTTAACTAATTTATGTATTATACTTAAATTATGTATTTACACAGATTGTTGCTTAAATCTTTTTTACAGCTACCTGTAAATTACAAATAAATAAATAATTTTCTTCAAGGTAATTTCTTATGTAAATAAGAAAACAAATTGGTAAAAGCATAAAAAGAATTGCAAATTAATTTTTCATTTGGAATTTTATTTTAATTAATAAAAAAAGTGCCAGGGATAGGAGGGAGGGGGTGGGTGGGTGAAAGAGGAAACTTTTCGACTACTATTGTGGGAGTATACAGATATTTATTTTGAGAAAATACTTCGCTTTCTGCAAACTTTTTAATGAACTTTGTTTTTCTTACAGTATATGGTAAGACAATATAATTAAAAGTATCAAATGAACAATTCTCCAGAAAATGGAGGAAAATACATTAAATGATTGATCAAGAAATATAACGTAAAAAACAGTCATAGAATAGTAAATAAAGTCAAAAAAACTTTCACGAGAATGTTAAGTGAATCTAATACACTGAACATCATGCAGAGTTGAAAAATTAGTTTCAGAGCTTTTACAGAATGTTCAATTCACTAAGTATTGATATACGAACATAATTTATGTTGCTCATAATAACTTCTAATCCATTTTCTCAAAAACATGTAAAAAGATTTTAAATGTAGGTTTCAAAACCCAAAAAAAACAAACTATGAGAACTGTATCCTACACAACCTACGAAAACAACTTTTACAAATTACTTTCACTGCAGGAGACAAAAGGTTAATTTACAAACAAAATTCAAGACTAAAATTAGAATGACTACATACATAAACAGACAAACAACTTTTTTTAAATAATATAGCACCGTACTGCAACTTTTTTTAACAGTACTTTCCATTTGTACTCACGATGCATACTTACAATAATTTCCTCTCTGATTACTACTGATATTATGAATGAAAGGTTACATTTAATTCAGCTGAAGAGCTGAAATGCACAACATGCAGATCACACTCTCTTCAGCCATTAAAAATTAAATAGTAACTTCAATAATATGTTTTCCTGAGTTGTTTTCAGTGTGAATATGTACAAGAAAATTATTTTGCAAACTGTCATATGCAAACAATTACATTCTCTTTCAACACATAAATTCAGATTCTTACAAAGCATCTAAACATTGTCTTTTTGGCGGAGGTTCATTTTCATCTCCACGGTTCTCAAATAAATTAGTAACTTCGAGTCTTTGTTCTAAATCTCTGTCCTGTTGGCAAAAAAAATATTATGCCCAACTGAGCACGTTGGAAGTCATTACAACATCAGAAAAATAAAAATGTTTACCTGGAACCAGGATTGAGAGAGAATCATATTCACTGTAATTCTTAACTTGGGGTTGACAGTCATCATTTTTTTCACTAAATCAATTGCCTTCTTGGTTACCCCTCTCCAATAACGTTCGGGAAATGAATAGGAACCAGAACAAATTTGTTCGCCTAGGGTCATATCTTGTCTCTCTGAACTGAATGGCAAACTGCCACTCAGACTGAAAAGACAGAAGAAGAAGAAGAAGAAGAAGAAGAAGAAGAAAAAGAAAGAAAGAAAGAAAGAAAGAAAAAAAAGAAAAAAAAGAGAGAGAAAAAAGAAAGAGAGAAAGAAAGAAGAAAAAAAAAAGAAAGAAAAAAAAATCAGTAATGAATGCAATCACAGAACAAAATTTACATCCTAGATTTAACATATAAATAATTCACCGTCACTTCTTCAATTTTTTTCCCATTGATAGATCAAGAAACACCTAAAAGAATGGTGCGTGTCTCATTTTCATTGAACAATCTGAATGTTGGAAAATTGCAAATATCGAAATAATACGAGAAAGTATGCAATGTTGTAGCTCTAGTTTCTTTCTCTTATATATTCATGTACACGGAATACTATTCAAAGAATAGAGAAAGATTTGTAATGCTGCGGAAAATGGAACTCAAGATTTCAACGGAAATACACGTAATGGGTTAATTACACGGTCCCACAGCTACAAGTAAATTTTTTGGGGACTGGCGTGCTAGTAGCATCTCTAAGCAACCAGCACACTGCTGTAAACTACTAATGCAGGCATAGCGTTTGCGTTACACGCAAGTTGCATGGCATTTTCAGAAACCTTATTTTACCAGTTATTCAATTTCTGTGATTCTGTTAACTGCGGCAATAACACATCCAACAACCGAATCTTTCTTTCATCCTGTAGTGTAGTAATGGTGCAGTTCAATTTATTTTAAATTCGCTGTTTTTTTAAGTTTTTCGCTTAGAACAAAACTACATACTTTTATAGAAATATGTTCCTACTATATACAAATATAAAACATTAAATTTGCTGTGTGTTATGCCCCATAAGTATCTCTACATTACCCCCCAAAAAAGGTTTATTCAGTTTGGTAAAAACCGTAGCCCTAGTTTAGGCGCAAGTGCTGTTCATAATACACCAGACACAAACTGACGTTTTGCCATCAATCGATTTCTCAATATGACGGCACCACAAAAACAAGGCTTCTAAGCATTAGAGGATTTCTCCCCCTTAACTTACAACTAAATTCATCCACTTTTCCGTTACCAGGGCCTGGCAACGATTTTTTTCTGACGAAAGCGTTTTTTCTGACTCTCGTTTTTTCGCGCAGCATTACATAACTAGCCCTATTCGGCGTATATTACTCCGAATATACATATGTAAACGGGAAAATAAAAACACCATTCAGTGTCCAAATCCAAACGTCATCGATGACTTTTTTATCTCCGAGTTTTTTGACACAATTTTTTATGGCTATCCGGAAGTGCGAAGCGATGCAAAATGTTTAAAAAATTTGCGTACATAGTTAATAAAAGACTGTTAGTAGCAATGTTGATAACGAGGTTTTTATCATCGAAAATGGCATGCAAACAAGCGAAGGTAGATGCAGATACTCTGATAATGAACGCAGCTTTGTTCTTAGCCCCCCTCCCCCCAAAAAAGGCCATAATGGAAGTTGGTGAGGATGTAGTAAATATGATGGTAATAGTGAGAGCTTTCTGCAAGTAGGCAAAATGTATATTTTTTGAAAAAGGAAAAACAATCAATTTATTTAACCACATTTTCCCGTTTGCCATAAGTAAAACAATTACCAATAACTGCTTTCTCTCAAGCAATGAGTGGTTGCGAAACCTTCACATTGGCCAATGAATTTCATGCAGAGCATGAACACAAATCTTGCTGACTATAAAACTATTTGAACAATCCAACAAAACTAATGTGATGGTCGATGATGGTGAACTTTTTCGGGTTTCAATATTGGGTATCAGTGCAAAGCACACGCTTATATAATTAGCCAGTCGAGATATGTCTGCTAAATCTGCCTTAAGTTACAAGGCAAACATTGCTGCACTACCACTATCTGCAGCTGCAGCACAGAAACACTTTTTTAAGAGTGGAGAGGGGAAAATACGAAAAATCCCCTTGCACCTTTGATTACAACTTGTTAGTACAACTTGCTCTACCAGTTTTATAGAAATTTAATTTCACCAAGAACTTCAGAAACTGCAAAAGGGCAGGGATTAATGATCTAATGTGTGTCTCAACAGAGAGAAGTGTTGCGACAATATGACAATCGTTCCTGAAAAGGACATGAAAGGAGTTATGCGCTGAAACATGGACATCAAGATATTAGATAATGCCAATTATTAGAAACAATATAATACACAAGAGTTATAATAAGAAAATACCCGCTAATGCCATTATTTTGTATGTAGCAAATATCCATGACATCAAAGGACTGAGAAACCTACGTGTCTATGAAGGAGCAGTCCATCTTCCAAAATATTAATTTTCTTTTTCACATTATTAATTACCTACTTTTTTTTTTTCTTTCAGGAAAGTAAACTGATTCACAAGATGCCATATTAATTTGTAAACAACTTTATCTGATGTAAATTAGATATAGGAGTTAGCAGTGCTTGATTTATACAACTGTAGGTCCCAAAACGTGCACCACATTAACAATTAATTTCACAGAAATTGTTATATATTTATTATATAATGTAATAATATTGTTCCTGAGGTATAGAAATCTGACCCTGATCCATCAGAAATCAAGCCCCGGGTTTGTGTGGGAGGTTAAGTAAGGCCGGCGATAGCAATAACTCTAGAACAGGCATGCACAGTATTTTGCACTTTAACTGACCTTGAAAGATGCGCGCGAGCAACTTCAGTGCAAACCCGGGCTGTTTGGATGTGAATAAAAATCATTCCAGAAGTGGGGACTGCCAACAAGAACGCGCAATTCGAACGATAGCACATAAATTGAAAGAAATTACTATTACATACAGTTCAACAGTCATTACCTTTTATTTTGGAAATGTTTGTAGTCAATGTAAGACAATGTGAAGTATGAACCTAAAACGAATTAGACATACATAATTGATTTGGACATCAGTATTATAATTGCTTGTAGGGCTGATAATGCAATATGCTTTGCTACGATGAAATTGCAAATTTAGCGTGCTGCCAAACACAAAATAGTATTTGTGAATCTTTTTTGTTTGATGGTGGTAATAAGTTATTTTTTTCATTAATGTTTCTTTGATTAAGACTTCTATAAAAGATAAAAATATATTATTCTTAAAAAAATCATGATTACTTTCTGTTCTAAGTTCCTTCTTTCCCTTTGGACCTTTCAGCGATGCAATGCTATAATTTCCAATAAGAATGAACCATATGTTTCTAATTTCAAATCAATAAACACTATTTATCCATAATCGTTTAAAAAAGTAAGCTCTTTACATTCTTTATAACAATACTCATAATAATGTCATGATTCACCGCAATAGTATTAAGAGGTTTATTCATTGTTATCTCTTATTTCGCTTCAGTATGAGGGAAATAGTCACAGATATGTCGATTATTAAATAATACATTTTTGTGGCCACTGCTTTAAAATATTGTTTGAGTTACAATGGGCATAAATTAAAGACATAAAAATTTTTTTTTTTAAATTGTTGATACATAGCAGTGCACAGAAGAACATAAACAATAAAATACAGCCCTTGTAGCTATAAATACGGTAATTGCTCTTTTAAATAAGTGGGCAAATCTTTTCACAGCATAGATCATTGCATTAGACACCCCGTCATTCAAACTTCATGCCACATTGCCCCCACCCCGACCCATTTAAAAAAAATGTACACGAGCTTAATGAAAGAACTGAAGAAAAAATGTCTATCTTCAATTTTGTAATAGAAGGAATAAGCTGAAAAGAAATTGGTTTTGAAATTTTCAGAGTTAACAGAGAAAAAGATACCTATGCCATCTTTATAAGAGTATTTTATTTTGTTCTTTCAAAAAAAATTGGAGCAATTTTTGAGAAAATTTTGAAAATGTTCCATGGGCTTTATGTAAAGTACCATCAAATTTTAAAGGAAGTTTTTCGAAATAGCAAAATTTGAAACAAACCAGATTGACCAGGGAATATCCATTTTGAAAAATAATCCTACGCATGGTTTAGGCCAGTGTTTGTCAACTCAATGCTCTGTGACGACACAAAAACCTGCTCTCTCGTACATCGAGCCGAGCCGCCAGGAAAGGGAAGTACCTGATGGGGGCGGTGGGGATAGTGTTCTAATGAAATTTTAAATCATAATTAATACTTAAATGTGTATTATTCAATTAAAATATGGACAATAAAAAATATAGGAAAATTTATTACACAAGTCAAAGCAATATCCAACTGTTTATCGTAATCAGTATCTGTAAACCCACTTCCATTCTTCTAATACAGAACCTTTTGAATATTCTAGTTTAACAATACAGGGTGCCGGAGCATTACTTCCTTTTTTCAAAACTTTATAAAACCCATTGTGTGAATTAGAAAACTTTTATTTGGCATACACCTAAAGTTTTCTTTTATATAGTTTTGAAGATCAAATCAGGTAGGTGACACCCCCCATTCTCCATACACCGAGTAAACAGATTTCTGGCGTTTGTCATGACTCTTGCCAGCATTTCAGGTGATATGTTGGCAATTTTTTCCTGGACGTTTGTTTTCAAATCTTGTAGGGGCCTTGAACGGTTCGCAAACATGAAAAATCACTAGGGGGCAAATCGGGAGAGTGGGCCGGACACTCTAAATCATCCCTATAATTGAGATGTGCTCCAGGAAGTGTTCCCTCAATATACAGCCATCGATGCTCTTGAAGGGCGTGCCTTTGCAATGCCTTGTTGGAACCAAATGTCCCATAAGTCCAACTAGTTTAGCCATGGGAAAAAATTCCTGAACATGTTTACATACCGATCCAAATTCACTGTAACTGTTACTTCATTTTCCCCCAAGAATCAGGGATCAATAATTCTTTGCACTGTTGCCCTTGCTCTTTGAACCTAGTGACCCACATAACAATTGATTTCGGGTCCGGAACAGGGGCTACATTAAAGCGATTCCAAAAGGCACGCTGGATAGTGATCACAGAACATCTGCTTGAAAAGTAGGAATCAACGGCAAAAGCATGCTATTCACTGTTCCAACACATGATGGTGACTGAACAGTGTCGGGGACCAAACTTTATAGTACCCTCTCTTGAACGAGACCAGTAGCGCTCCGTACATCAACCGACTGAATGGCAAGCATTTTAGAAAAGGAAGTTATGCTGCCGCATTCTGTATTTTATACAATGTTATGTACTATGACAATAATTAATGTTAACAAATAGATTTCCGGGAGGGGTCACGTGGGAGAATATGGACTCCACTTTGTGTGCGTGGTGTGGGGTGTGGTGTGGCGTGTGTGCGTGGTGTGGCGTGTGTGCGTGTGGTGTGGCGTGAGTGCGTGTGCGCGCGCGCGTCGATAGTGCTGAAGCTTTGGGTCAGCAGATCAGTCAAAGAGCAGTAGTCAACTCAGATGGTCAAGTTCTTGGTTTTAAGAATAAGAAGAAAAGGAAGAAAGAAGAAGAATGGAGCCATGCCCTCAGTTAAAGGGAGTAAAGTAGGTAAATTAAAAGGATTTGTTAGCGAGTTTGGTAGAGACATTTTCTTAACAGATGTGTTATTTTGTAAATGGTGAGACTTTTGTCATAAATTAGAAAAGGTCCTTGGTTATTCAATATTTTGAAACAGCAAAAAACGAAATAAGTTTTCCAAGAAGAATCAGAACAATGTAATTCAATCCATGCTCTCATTTGCTACGAGAGAAAATTCTAAAAGTAAACTGAGCCAGTTTTCTATTTTATGTGAAGTTTTTGTTGCAACCAATATCCCTCTGCCTAAACTGAGCAATTTTCACAGAGTTGCCAGAAGTGTTGAGGGCTCTTTCCCCATCGCTACAAAGGAGTTTCTCCAAATAACCTCCCAAATAAAAGAAAATTCCCCAACTTTGGGACGGAAAATATTCTCAAAATTACACACTACATGAGCTGACCATTGGCTGTCCCCTCTTTTTCAAATAATTTAAATCAATCAAATATCGTCCTTTGAGCAACTCAAAGCCCCATACTATTTTTTTCTAATGTTTTTCTTTTTCTAAACCTGTCATTTATTTTTCTCATTTTGCGAGAGAATAATGTCCATTGTTTCTTTTTTATTCACGATAAATGAGAAAACCTTTTCTCCACACCAGATGAACATAATTTCCTCCCAAAATCCCCAAACATTTTTTCATCCAAATATGTTCCCTACTCTTTCCCCACAACGGGAAAAATTCCCCGATCTGGCAACCTTGACTCAACTTAAAAGCTTTTAATATTGTGAAAAATTCATCTCAGATGAATCGACCACTCCAAAAAACTTACGCCAGCAATTTATACAATCAAACTGTTGCAAAAATTGCAAATGCAGTTAAGGACAAAAAAACTGTGGGTTTCTGTGAATGGAACAACTGATTTGTGTGGTCAATATTGTAGCGTCATGTTGGCTGCACTGAGTGGAAGAAGGACGCGAAAGTTTCTCATACTTAAGAACTGTAACTAGCAGCCACGGCATTGGGGGTGGCAGGTATTTTTAGAGCCAGGTGAGGAAATACAAGTAAGTGTGTATGGGGTAGTTCAATACATTTGTGCATTTTGTAAATAAAACTGTATATACTTTTAAATTGTCTGTGTGCTTACTTCCATGTCGCCACAATATACGAGTAAACATGATGATGAGTGTTCTAGGGCAAAGTAAGGCAGGACAAGTATATTTAGTTAATATAGAATAAGTAGTAAAAACAAACCATTCTACAATTGCTCGGTGTTTCAAAAATGCTATGCAGACTATACTTCCCAGAGGACAGAATTTTCCTTTTTGTTACGGTGCCTCGCACATACTATTGACAAGTTGACGCCCATTTTTTTAATTTTTTTTTTCCTTCAAAAACTGAGTGTGATGTGCTATGGGGAGAAGTTAATTTGAAGTTAAATTTATGACCAGAAGCAAAACAAGGGACCATCTTAGCATTTGCTCAAGGATCAGGGAAACTGGACGAAAAAAATGATCAAGATGGGGGGGGTCATTGACCCAGAAGATGAAATACAATACTTGTTGCAGGTTCCCTAGAATTACACAATCCAAATGGTAAATAATACATTAAATGTCATTGTCAAGATTACTATTACTTTCCTTTTGGATGCTCGGTATAGTCTCTAACTGTATAGAAAAAGTTGTGCAGCAGAAAAGGTTTTACTTGGGACTTAAACTTTTGTAACGAATTTAATCGTTTAATGTCATCTGGCAAGGTGTTGTAAAATAATGTAGATGTATTATATGTGAATTTTTCGTAGTGAGCTGTTGATACTGTCACCTGATAAACATGACTACTACGTCAAGTGTTGTAGTTACAGAGGGCGTTTGCTGAAAATATATTCCCACCTTTAAGCCAGTCGTTTTTGACAAAAACCACTGATTGATATAAGAGACAAGGTAGTGATAAAATACCTAAATTAATAAAGAGAGGCTTACAAGGATCATGTGGGTGGGATTTGCTCATTATTCGTACAATTCTTTTTTTGTACTCTAAAAGTCTGGGAGCTATAAGATGTATTTCCCTAGAATATTATGCCATATCTCAGATGGGAATGAACAATTATTCCAATGTTGACAGATTTATTTCAAATTTGAAGGTTTTCTAAAGCCACCAACCATCAGAACTTGCTCCTCATATCCCTCTTCGACCAAATTTAGTAATAACAACATGGCTTGATGCAGTTTTATACAAGTCAAAATTTCGTTTTTGTGGTGCAAGTTCTTGAGAAATTGAATACTGAAAGCAGTGCAGCAATCTAAGTAGTGAAAGAATTAATAAATAGTTTATCATTGAAGTAAAATTTGAGCTACATTTCTTCCAATTTTGGGATGTTAACACAGAAATTATTCAGATTCAGGAAAGAGATCATTCACAACTGCAGGGGCAAAAATACGCACCGACAGACACACTTAATACTTGAAGGGGTGGCAGGTTGCTTCTATTAAGGAACACCTGAGGTATCATAAACGCATAAATGAAAACGCCCCCCATTTGTCTGATTCAACTCAATTCACTCTTTAAACACACTCAAAATTAATAAGAACAAAGTGTGATATTTCAGCAACATTGTCAAGTAGTTTTTTGTAAGTGCATCAGATATATGCACATTCCCTTATATTTGTACACAGGTAACAAAATCAACTTACCATACATAAAGAATGACACCCATACTCCACACATCTACTTGATTAGAATAAACACCACATCCCTTAGTTTCCAGAATCTCCGGAGCAACATAAGATGGTGTACCACAAACAGTTTTCATAACCATTTGGGAATTAAAAAATCTAGACAGTCCAAAATCTGTTATCTTTATAATGGGATTCTTTTTATCAGAAGAAAGCAAGATGTTTTCCGGCTGTGAAAGGAAATAAACACAGTTAGATCATCAACACTTTACACAAATTATTATCTCTACACTCACATATCTTTATACATAATACATTATCGCAATTAAAACATACATACTTATATTTCTAAAAAATGTTATCTCAAAAATTAGGTAAATTCAGACTTCAAGCATGCAAGATTAAAATTTTGAAAGTTCGGGTCATCATTAAGTATATTTCAGTGTCCATGGCTCATTACAATAACAAGGATTTACTTGACCTTCCCTAGTTCTACAAGAACATTCTGTATTACTTCTTTCCGCAGATTTGTACTTCAAGTTTTGAGGTTTTTAATGGAAATAGGACTCAAGGACCTATACCATTTTTATAAGAACTTTTTGCTCAGAGGAAAAAATTTAAAGAGAAAATGTTCCCTAAAGAATCCTGGATATCAAACTCTTCTTTGGAAGAGGAAGTCAGAATGAAAATCTTATTTAGGCAAAAGTTCCAAATCGTTGAACTGAACTCAATTTTACGAAGAACATAAGTTTCGTATGAAGTTGCGAACACATCAGTTCTGATGGTGTTGGAGGCTTTGCGGAAGAGATAAATTGCTTTATTAGCCTTTTAAGCAATGTCGGATACGTCATTTTCCCCATTTCAAATCGTTTGAAATCATCATTCCAAAGTCCTTCATCACCTGTACATTGGCAAGGCATTCTCTGCCAAGGTGCTTCCTAAGACTTCCTTTTTGGGGCCTATGCATTTAACAATGCACTCCACATGCAGGAAGGTGGTGTTGGAAACTGCCCTCTGAAAACACTGCTTGTAAAATCAGTCGGCAGTGAAGCGAGTCAATGAGATGTAAGATTATCCTTAGGGAAAATGAAGGAAGATGCAGAGAAATGTCTCTCCTAACATTAGAACAGAGAAGAAGTAGAAATGATATTGTAGAAACGTTTAAGATCCTGAAAGGATTTTATAACGTTCCTGAATTCAACAACTTTTTCATTAAAGCCACGGAGTCTAGACTTAGAGGACACGCCTTGAAACTGGTGAAAGAGAGGACAAGGACAGGACGTTCCCATTTTATTGTGAACCGAGTGGTAAATACATGGAATACACTTCCCGCACTTTGTACTGAGTGACTCTGAGCGCCTTTAAGGATTGTCTAGATAGTCAATTTTTTGTGATCAATTGAATAATGATCATACATAACTATATATCTCAAACAACACACACTAGAGAACTTAAAATTGATTTTTTTTAAATCCTTTATTCATCTCAAAAACAACTTTTATAATTTATTTATTTCACTTGCATCTAAAAATTATTTTCCAAATCCTCAGATAAGTTAGTGTTTCCATAATAACTTAATTTCCCGTCCTCCTTAATTTAAATAATTAATTCCCCCATTTTCAATTCACTTTTTAATCAGAATGGTATTTATTCAATTATAGTTTTTCTTTTAAATTGTGGGTAAAATTATTTTCCTTCAGATTATCTGCCGGCATCTTGCCATATATAATTATTGTAAACAAAGTTAAAATACCTGGAAAAATTTATTGGAGAATGTTAATATAATAGTTGAACAATAATTATTAGAAAAAAAGAAATCTTCCATTCAACTTTATTACTAATTAAAACTACAGCTTCGATTCATTTTACTCATATGCCATTAGAACACTTAATTCTGATATAAGGATAGAATGTTGTTCAATTTTATAATTGAACAATGTTACTTAATGTATATTGAATTTATTACCATTTGATTTAATCCCACTTTTATGAATTATTAAAAAAATGAAATTGTTCAAAGCAAGCTAATGTGAAGTTAAATTTTTCCTTGCTGACAAAAAAAAATTAAATATTTTTCATTATTGTTGACATACAACTATTTGAAAATATGTGTAAATAATAGTGAGTAAATGAAATTAGTTCCTGGGCCGTATTAGAAGATTTATCATCTCAAGAATATCTATTTTTTATTTATTCAATTTCTGAACCTTTACTTTTGAAACTTGATATAAAAAAAAATATATCACTAAAATTCTTTCTTACATTCTTTCACTTGAAAGAATGTAATAAAATAGCTGTGCCTTTTCGTATCTTAAAGGCAGGCATCAACTGAAAACAGAATGCTAAAACACCCCAATATCAAGATTATTTGTTGTACTTTAAGACAGTAGTTGATGAATTCAAATACTCATTTTCAAGAATATTGCTTATTAATGACCAACTTTGATACTGACACGATTCATAACTATTGCCTACCAAATTCATATTAAAACATTGTGACAATAATGGTTTTTATTATTCAGGTATTGTCCTAAACGATTTGTTACAACTTCAAATCTATTAATTTAAGTTCATAATGAACCGATCTTTTAGTCCAATATCTGGTGAAGACTCAATATTTGTAACATTTTCTTTCACTATTTTTATGTGAATTTGGTATGTAACTTTTGTTATCAAATGTTGGTTTAAAAAATAATTATAATTATTATACATATGTAGTTGGATACAATTGATCCTTTATGTGAAGTTGAAGAGAAGGTTCTGATGAATTACATTTGGCATAACATTTTTTTTATTGACATTGAAAACCAAACCATGTCTTTCTTATATTTTCACTAAAGGTAATTTCTATAACTGTGCTTTCCTAGTGATTATTGATGTTGCAAAGAGGGATGATCTCTGACAGCCAATGAAAAGGGACAAGTTCTTGTATTTTTTGTAGAAAAAGTAGTAAATTCAGATTTAAAACATTTAAAAACCAATAGTAGTATGGAAATTAATTTTCAAACAGGAGGTTTTCTCAGAACACTAAATGAAAATAAATTTTTTGTATTCTTGAACATAAAGAAGAATTTATACCAAAAGATTTAAATGTTCAATAGCTGTAACATTGGAGCATATTTATAAATAAAAATAAATGTATTATCAGACACACAATACAGGCATAACTTTTATTTGAAATTAGTACATTCATAAAATGTCAAGTCAATTATATATCATACATTTTATTTTAATTGTTTTCTCTAAGTGCTCTCCAAACTGCTGCTCCTCTGTGAACATCTGCTACTATTGGTAGTATAAGTGGTTGATCACTCAGAAATTTTGAAATCTGTTCTGAGCATTGAAAGCAGCTTTTCAATATAACAAACATCTTTAAACAATATTTTTCTTGCTTTTCATATTTTTTATAGGGACGGATAAATTATTCATAAAGGTAGAAGTAGATTCCACCAAAAATCTCCAATTAAATTTCTCATGTTCAGTCTTTGTTTTAATGTTGAATCATTGAAAATATGAGAAAAAGTGTCATGTCGTTTTATTTATTTAATTGGATAACACAATTTATCTTATTAAAATAAAACAATGCATATCCTTTCTTCGTTTATTTAAGTAAAACAATGCAATTTTCTATGAGGTATTTGTACGTATGCACGTTTAATGATTTAAAATACTTATAATAGACCACTATTGGCCAATTAGGGATATGGTTGCTTATAGTTAATGACACCCTTCAACGCACTTGGTTAACTATGCGTTCCGTCCCGCGAAAACCCATTTTTTATTTCGAAATTCAGTTAAATACCCTTCAAAAAGATTCACACATGCTCGGTTACTTTTTTCCCTCGGCTGTCCGTATATTTCATCAATGCTGTTTACACTTCTATTTTTGGTATTTTTGAACATCCTAAAGAACCTGTGTTGAACCGCTTTAGTAAGCGAATGTGAACCTGAAAGGCAGCAGACAAAACTACAGAAGCATACACAATGATAGGTCTCACAATCATGATCTACAGAGGAGTGTGATGTCAGTGAATCCGGGAACGGAGAAAGTGATTAAATTTAACTTTAACATATTTACTATGTACATATGTACAAAATATTTGATATTTTCAACATAAAATTTTGTTTTTCTTCCAATATTTTTTTTTTCCATAGAAAAATCTCATGCAACCCCATTTCATGAGCTACTTTTCAGGGGGAAAATTGTGGCTTATTCATGAGCAAGTACGATATATCACTATTACATTAATGTTCCAAGAAAGCCTATAACACTAGATGCGCAACAAAATGGCACACACTTTCTTGTACTTGTTGGTTTCCCTTTCTTTCAAGGTAAGAAAAGCCAACAAGTTGTTTGAATGAAACCCACTAGTTGGTTCAATTTATTTACAATGAACGCAATTTGCTCAAAAAATGACATTTTAGAGTTAAAAATAACTCCAATATTTTGAATATTAAAGACACACACTATTTTAATAGAGTTAATTTCATAGTTACATCGTATGCTTGCACTTGATCTAGACTAACACTTGAAAAGTATTTAAATTAAGATAATTATTTGAACACCACACAGTTCCTTGTCAGGGGAATTTTGTAAACAAAGAACATCACTTGAACTGCTAACCGACTTAAAAAGTTAACAATCATTTGCGAAGAATAGGAACTACTTCATTATCAAGAACAAGATATAAATCATCAGTAAACATTATAAATAGCAAAGAACACACAGTGAGCCCTGACGTACCCCAGAAAAAGAGTGAATCTCTACATTTCACACAATGCTTTCCATCCGTCAGGTAGTTAAAGAACCAATCCAGTAACTTGTCACATATTCCAATGGACTTAAGTTTCTGTAACCGTAACATGTGAATCAGTGAATCAAAGGCCTTGCTAAAATCTGTATAGATACTATCAATTTTCCAATTCTTTTCGACGTGATACCTAGATGTATTGAGTAGAATTATACAAGGTTCCATCAAACTACTTTTTGCTTATAAAACAAATTATCTTTTTGGACAGTAAAGGAGAGAATTAATGGTATCAATTTATAAGAAAAACAAATGGATTTCAAAATTGTCCCACTTTTCAAAATCGCTGAAAGCTTTCTATAATACATCGTCTTTGCGCTCGTCCATCTTATTTGAAATGCTGCATACTTTAAATCTTTTTATGATTATTCCGGCTGAAATAGATGCCCACACATCCAAAATCCACTGACACATGTATGTCAGTATGGCCTTTTTGAGACAGCCAGTCAAAGTCGTGTCTTCAGTTCATTACGTCCACGTACGGTACAAACATCGCACATGCGCCTTAAATGGTGGGTTACTAGACTCATCTAAAGGTTGCAGCATCCCGGTCACGCCACCTGGTATCACTACTAAATCCTCACTGTTCTTCTTCAGTTTACTTCTTAACCTCTCAATTGTGTGAGTCCGGAAATGATTCGAAACTAGCATGGACTGACGTTTTAGCAGCACACCAGGACGCTGCCACCCCACATCTAGTCCAAGACAAGGTTTTCATCCAAACATCTATTTTTCTGGACATGCAGTATTATCCTGGGAGAAATTTCCCCTTTGGCATAGTTTTACATCTGAAAACCACGTATAGTAACAACAGTGCTGCGTTGCTTCTCTGCTTCCATAGTTCTTATGGGAACACTTCACTTGCCTACCAGTCGCTTGTAATTTGGTACAGGAAATACAAAGTTTTCTGGCAATTTGCTGCCCTCTAACTGCAGCAACCCTTGGAAAAAGGCCAAACCGTTGCATTGATTTTATTCCAACAATTCTTCAACTGCTGGATATTCACATTTCCTTCCTCGAAATACACATTTGTTGCAATTGCTTTTTCCAACCTGGGTTTGTCTTGAATCCACCACCTCACATTCTTGTCATCACCATCAAACTTCCTCCCGGCAGCTTGATACTTGTAACAAATTTACTATGTCTTATACACAAGATTTTTTTCTTCAAGTTACTACGTCAAAGATTAGTGAGGTCTATACACGAGCAAATACAGTATTCTGCAAAATTGTTTTAAAATATATTTCATAAAACATCTTTACGAAATCAGGCTTTTACCAAGTAAAATTGAATTTTATGAAAAAATGAATTAAGAACATAAAATTACCAATTTTTATCATATAATTTTATTGAACAATCAAGGAGCATTCGCTAATGCTATCGAGAGCAATACAACATGTGAGAGAACAGTAAATGACAATTACATTGTATTAGTGTTCTGTCATTAAATTTGGTTTCATCAAAAGAGGATAAGACTAAACGAGCATAGAAATATACAAGGACTTTGCTGTGAGTGATCGAGTGAAGCACACTTTAAAATGAGTATCAGAAGTGCCCTCACTTGTGTATTGTAGATGGCCCTTTCAAATATAATTGTAATGCTGTACTGGAATTTATTTACAGTTGCCTCTGACAAGCCATCAGCTGTTACAGTGTCATCCAATACACACACTTGCACGTCACCCCAGCGATGTCACTACAACCTTCTGACTGGATGACACTGTAATAGCTGATCTACATTGGAAACAGCTCTAAATAAAACCAAGTATAGACAAAAGCACAAAACAGTAATGTTTGTACACATGTTGTACACACTCTTGTTTTCTACAAGAGGCAATCCATATGTAATATTATGAGAAATTTGACCAAGTACAACGAATTTTTTATGAAATGCTTTATAAAACATTTTATGTACATTTCATAAAACGTGTTTATAAAAAATCTGACTGTGTATAACAGGTATTACATTGGTACCATTACATCTCTAATTGTATGAACACTGATGAAACGGGATTGAGTCAGAGAGGTTGATCTAGTTTTAACCCATTGATTCTTATTTTAACTTTACCACATTTCCAATAAAGTAGAAACTCAAACAGATTTTAAATGCTTAAAAGAAATAAAGAACTGGAACTATTTTTTAGTAAATTTTGAAAAAGACCATGGTCTTTATGTTTTCTGTAAATCTACATTAATTCATGGAAAATTATTGTGTATGACCAATATTTATTACCTTTAGGTCCCTATGGGCAATTCCTTGTTTGTGCAGGTATTCCACAGCTTTGGATATTTGGTAACTGATCCATTTTGTCTCTGATTCCTTCAATTTTCCTAGAGACTTAACTCTCTCAAACAAATCTCCTCCTTCCATGTAATCTAGAAAAATAAACACTGACTCGGGAGAGTTAACAACATTATGAATCTTGATCACACATGGCTGAAACAATTGAAAAGAAATAGATTAATCACTTGACCAACACTATTTTAACTAAATTTGCCTAGGTTAGAAACAAACAGATATTTAATTATATTTTATTCCTAAATAAAACCAAAAGATGTAGAGAAGAAATAATATTAGTAATTCACAACCATTTAAAAACATCAATTTTGAATTTTAATCTAACTTACAAAAATCAATAAATATTAATACATTTTGATTCAACTTACATGATCTAGAGATCTTAATATGTTAACTTCATTCATCAAAATATCTTTGGTTGGGTTAAGTGTCCTCTTTTTCACAACCTTCATTGCAAATCTATCAAACGTTTTCTAGAAGGAAAAAAAGAAGAGTTTACAACTACACAAATGGATGAATACTGAAAAAATATGGATCCATTAAAAAAGTATGTTGTCAAAATTGTTTTCAACCCTCCCCTATACTTGAAACGATTCATAAATATTATCACACTCCATCTGAGAGAAATGATCCACTTCCGATTCCCCACAAGCCTTGCCCTCTTCTCATTAATATTAAAGTAACTACGTTAATTACAGAATGTGGTAATTTAAAGTAAATACAGTGGTGCTACAGAATGTCACAGACTTTCCCGTAATAAATTTTCTTTGGTTTTAGCTAGCTACTCGGACATGCCACATACTCTTGCCAGCTATCGCCACCTAAAGTACATTTTTCTCACATCTTCTTAATTTTACGTTTTCCTAATTGTAGACCGAAAATATTATTTTAAGGATATTAAAGAACAGAGCAATTTTCTTAGAAAAATTTAGGGTTTAAACGCAACAGTGAATGCGAAATTTGAACCTCTTTTTACAAAACACTATTGAGTTTCCGAAAACCATCATATGAAGTCATTTCAAGCACCTTCCAGTCACAAATGCAATGTTTACAAATCGCTGGAAATGTGCATTCTAGTGCCATGAGAGATCTTCCAAAAATATTATATTAGTGTAAGTTTTGAACAAACAAAAAAATACCCCAAAAGGAACTTTACATCATATTAAAAAGTGCATTTAGCACTATCTCTACCAAAAGATTAAAGAAAAAATTTGGAGCTGTTTTCGAGAAAATTTTGAAAATGTTTGAACGGCTTCATGTATAGTACCCCCAAATTTTAAAGAAGTTTTTCAAAATCTCAAAGCTTCGACTCAGGCCAGATGGACAGGGGTTTCTTCAATTTGGAAAAAATCCTATGCATGGATCAGGTGCTAGTGGTGTTCACAGACAGACAGACAGACAGGCAGGTTTTGAAAAGAACCATTTTTTCGTTATAAGGGAACCCCAAAGATGTGCATTTCCATCAAAATCTCGAAATCTATTTTCCACAGCTTTACATAACTTTCTCTTAACTATGTATAATACTCTGTATATATGTACATATACAGGAAAGTAAAATAATAGAGAAGTGAAGTTTTCACAGTTTTTTACACAATTTTTAAATGTAAAGATATATTTTTATGAATTTGTCATGTACGAATTCTTATATCACTCAAAAATATTGAAGTTCTTTGAAAACATTCATTTTTCATCCCTCCTAAACTGTTTGCGTTTTTTAGGAGCCTTCCCTAAAAACAAACATATTGTTTGAATGACTCTAAGAATGAAATCGGATAATTGAAAATATATCACCAAAACATTTTAAATGTTCATTTAGGACTAATGAAAAAATAAGCCAGAAAGTTAACATTTTCAACATACTTTTCAAATTACTTCCATTAATTAAATTACACTAATACCTTTTGGAACACCAACATTACTTCTCCATATGCTCCTTTCCCCAAACTCCTGGACACTACAAAGTCATCTTTAACTCCATCAGGATAAGCTAATTCTTCCATATTATTGGTGTACACTTTTTTATCAATAAATACATACACTGTAAAAATGAAAGTCAATTGAAAGCACAAATTAAATATGAGAACCAAGATGAATACTATAGAAAGAATTTTACATTCAAATTATGAATAACTACTAAAATTATTAATTATTTTTAATGATCCACTAAATAAATTGCCACACAGAATATCATCTGCACAACTAAATCAAGATTTCTTTCAAACATTAACCTGTACTCACAATTCAACTACTCTCATTCAAAATTTCCTGAACCAATTTGAACTAAAACAATTGAACATTACCCATCAAGTTCATCCTTGACCACGAAAGTAAATGCTGAAAACAGAACAAGCTTTACTCTGACACTATTGACAAATATGACCAACAAGAAATTAATGCCAGAAACTTTTGATTGTCATTTCTTTAAAATCAAAAGTATGCACTTTATAAACTCTTTTAATCACCATACAGTGCAAATATTCAAATTCATAATGGACACAAAAGTTATTAAGGAAACACTTAAAAGAGAAAGCCAAAACTCCTTTCAGAAAAACTTAAGACTCTTACAACTCTTGAATAAGTTCATGAACTAGGAGGTGGTGTACAAAGCAACAGACACGAATACCAAATTTAACTTATTCATAAACATATTCCAAAGTTATTTTAACACTGTTTTCCCACAAACACTGAAAAAAATAAAAAGCAAAAACCACAAATCCTGGATAACAAAAGGAATCAAAACCTTACGTGAAAGGAAACGAATTGTGCATGAAGCAATCCTTCACCATGAATGTTCTGATTTCATTGATTATTGCAAAACATACACAAGTATCTAGAAGAAAGTAATTAAACAGGCCAAACTGTTAACGAATGATCAATGCATTGCCAAAGCACAAAACAAAAGAGAAGCAATGTGAACATTGTGAACGCGCGCACGCGCGCGCGCCCCCGCCCCCGCACGCACGCACGCGCGCGCGCGCACGCGCGCGCACACACACACACACACACCACACACACACACCACACACACACTCCTGTGTGGTTGCCGGGGTTTTTTGTAG